GCTGAGCGGGGAGGGGTGTGTGAGGGGGGGGGCGGTTATGGCTGACAGCGTGGTGCGGGCTCTGCTACCCCGCTACCGCCTTCTGCAGGGCCAGCCGCATCCCGCAGCTTCTTCTCTCGTCCCCGGGTGTCGTCCCGGTGCGTCCCCGCTCTCCCCTTCGGCCTCTCCGGGCTTTGCGTGTCAGTCGCACCCCGTCCGGGTGAGGCCTCCCACCTTCCCCTCCCTCAGTGCCCTCAGGTGGCCGCGGGGGCGGTGACCCCTTGGAGAGCCCGCAGGTATTTTCGGGCACCGCTGGCTTTCAACGCCCTTCGGCGGCTCTTTACCGGCCCGTCCCGCCGCTGCTCGCACCCGCAGGGGTTTGCCTTAATGGGGAGCCCCCTCCTCTCCTCTTCCCTCCCGGCCACGGTCCCCACCCTGGCCATGGGCCGCTTCTTGCCACCGCTTCCTTGAGCAGCCCCTTCCCATGCCTGAGGACCCTTTCCGTGTTGAAATTTTTCTTAATATCCATCCTAAACCTCCCCTGGTGCAACTTGAGGCCGTTTCCTCTTGTCCCATCGCCTGTTCCTTGGGAGAAGAGACCGACCCCCCCTGGCTACACTCTCAGGGGGTTGTCAAGAGCGAGAAGGTCTCCCCTCTCAGCCTCCTTTTCTCCAGGCCGAACACCCCCAGCTCCCTCAGCCGCTCCTCACAAAACTTGTGCTCCAGACCCCTCACCAGCTCCATGCCCTTCTCTGGCCGCGCTCCAGCCCCTCAATGGCTTTTGAGTAGTGAGGGGCCCCAAACTGGACGCAGCCCCTCCAGGTGGGGGCCCCCCGTGCCCCAACCTTTTTAAACTCTTCCATTGCAACGATTATACCCCCCGAGACTTTGCTGCCAATAAGGCTAAAAGAGGACAGCGCTGATTTTGGTGGCGCTGGGTCCCGATGGGCGGAGGGGGGGGAGTGTTCCGCCTCCCACCCCCAGGCTCCGGGCAGCCCGGTCCTCCCGGCCGCCAGGCGGCGCCCTCACCCGTGTACCCAGCAGTGCCCGGCGGGGGTGGCACCGCCTCCTCCCCGCCTGCAGGGGGCGCTGGCGCGGCCCGGCCGCCCCTCCCGGCGGAAGCGGAAGCGGCCCGGCGGGGCGGCTGGGCAGCATCGCCGCCGCGGAGCGCCGCGAGTACCGGGGTGGGTGAGGAACCCTCGTAAGGTCCGGGGTTTTCCCGGAGGAGGTGGCCTTCCGGGAGCGGAGCCGCCGCCTCCACCCCCTGGGGACCTGCTGGTACACCGTGGGGTGGGAGAAGGAGGGGGGGCTTGCCCTAGGTCGGCCTGGTTTTCCGCCCCCGGCCGGGCCTGCCCGCCGCCCCCGGCGGTGGAGGAGCCTGGGGTCTGCCCGCTTCCTCCGGCCTTCGCCCCGCTCAGGCCCGGCCTGCTCCTCCGGCGGGTACGAGGCGTCTGTACCCAGCAGTGCCCGGCGGGGGTGGCACCGCCTCCTCCCCGCCTGCAGGGGGCGCTGGCGCGGCCCGGCCGCCCCTCCCGGCGGAAGCGGAAGCGGCCCGGCGGGGCGGCTGGGCAGCATCGCCGCCGCGGAGCGCCGCGAGTACCGGGGTGGGTGAGGAACCCTCGTAAGGACCGGGCTTTTCCCGGGGGAGGTGGCCTTCCGGGAGCGGAGCCGCCGCCTCCACCCCCTGGGGACCTGCTGGTACACCGTGGGGTGGGAGAAGGAGGGGGGGCTTGCCCTAGGTCGGCCTGGTTTTCCGCCCCCGGCCGGGCCTGCCCGCCGCCCCCGGCGGTGGAGGAGCCTGGGGTCTGCCCGCTTCCTCCGGCCTTCGCCCCGCTCAGGCCCGGCCTGCTCCTCCGGCGGGTACGAGGCGTCCTGCGGCGTTGTGGTGTCGGAGGGTGCCCCGGGGTGGCGTGAGGGATGGGGCGGCCTCTCTTTGTCGGCTGCAGGCAGGTGGAAACTAAACGCTTCTCTTGGCAGGAAGGTGGCTGCGGTGGAGATCCCGCAGCGATCTCTTGGGAGGCACATCCTCGCCTTACCCTGGGCTAACATCACCCTGGCGGGTGGCAGTTCTCGCTCTCGTTCGCTCATTAAAGTCTGCTGCTTTTCGGCTTTTATCTCTTTTCTTGGGAGGGGAGTGTGAGAAGTAGGTCGGGTTAAGGCATGCCAGCGTCTGGGAGTAGGTGGGGAAGGGAGTTTTTTCTTCGTTGGAGTTCTGCAAATTCGATAGGAGTTTTCTGATTCAGGTTTGGGGTCTCGTTCTCAGTCACTAATGCTGAGCAGAGCACCGTTCTGTGGATGGGTTTGCACTGTCCTTCCAGTTTTACAGGGCTGTTTAACTTGTGCCACGTTTTTGTGTTGTAAATAGATGAGATGAAAGACCTGGGTTTGTTGTGTTTGCATTGTCAAAGGTGGAACCAAACTTTTAGTCCGGACTTGCCCTGCTTTGCTTTTAGCAGTTTGTGCTAAAATGGGTTTGGTCCGAGGTGTGGGTCCAAGGTCTGGTTTTCACTTGTCTGTGACGAGGTATCTCAGCTGCTGTATAGAGCAGCAGGAGAGCCAGTCCTCCAGAGAGCTTTGTCTCAGGCAGCTGTGCTGCACAAGCCTGTGCCTTGAGGTTCAGTGTCCTTTCATGCCTGTTTGCTCAATGGGAATGCTTTATTTAATCCATATAAATGTTTTTGTTAGGCTCGGACCACCAAACTCTGCCCTAGCAGTGTGCAAAACAGCTGTGCAGCTTTTTTGTTCCATATATAGCAAAAAATATCTCTTTTGGAGGATTGACAATCCTTACACCTTGGGCGCTCTGCTGGCAGGAGTTTATAGCTTGGATCTTTTTGGAGCTACCCTCAGCTCTGGGATTTACAGTGGAAAGATTCTGTTTCCCCTTGCCAGACATCTGGGCTGTTAATTCCAGCTCAGATATACTTTGTAAAACACAGCTGACTGCAGGAAGAGGTATCTGCGAAATTCAGGAGGATAAGACTTATGCTGCAGATAAATCAAGTTGGAAAATGCTTTTTTTCACTCTGGCCTTTTCCTTCTGGTAGCACCCAACTCTTGTGGAAGAGCATCATCCATACATTATTTGTAATTATATTCCTGAGATGATACGGTAATGATGATCATTGCTAGAACCTTCCAAGCTTTGTTTGAAAGGAGGCATGAACAAACCCAAAAATTCTGAGAGCATAATGGGGTAAGGGCATGCAGTTACCTTGGCCCATCGAGTATGGTCTGGTGGTTCCACATCAACTAGATCATTGCTAGAACCTTCCAAGCTTTGTTTGAAAGGAGGCATGACATTGCTAGACCCTTCCAAGCTTTGTTTGAAAGGAGGCATGAACAAACCCAAGAAATTCTAGGAGCATGATGGGGTAAGGGCATGCAGTTACCTAGGCCCATCGAGTATGGTCTGGTGGTTCCACATCAACTACTAATATTGTTGGCAGCTATTGTTGTCCCAGATCTTGCTACAGCCCTAATCATCCCCCATTCTGATATCAGTTATAGCGAGGAGATATTCTTGCATTCACAGAAAGGAAGAGGCAGGTAGGAGCTTAATGGGGATGAATTTATCCATTCCAGGAACTGAAATGAGTAGTTGGTATGTGGAGGAGGTGGGAGAGTCAAACAACAAGAAGTCTGTGTGGCTCTATAAAGTTCTTAGTCCCACTTGGAAAGACTGAGTGTTGGCAGCCCATTTTCCACAGCAGAAATCTCTTTCCTAGTCCTTTAATTCTGCTGGTTTTTTGTTTTGCTTTTTTTTTTTTTTTCTCCCCACCATGAACTGGTGGTTTTCTTGTAGCAGTTTTGCTCTGATGTGTTTTGGGAGTGTGCAGTGGACGTTTGCTGGGCTGTTGGAAGGCAATGCTGAACTTCTGCTACTCTGTTCTTCCAGAAACATGCAACATGGCAGCAGCCATGGAAACTGAACAGCCGGGCCTTGAAATCTTTGAAACTGCGGGCCGTGAGGAGCAGGTCCAGAGAGAGGAGCAGCCAAAACTGGAACCTTTCTATGTAGAGAGACATTCCTGGAGCCAGCTTCGGAAACTGCTCACAGATACGCGGAAGTATCATGGGTACATGATGGCAAAAGCCCCTCATGACTTCACGTTTGTGAAGAAAAATGATCCTGAGGGACCTCACTCTGATAGGATCTACTATCTGGGTAAGCTTCCTGCGACAGCCTGTGCATTGACTGAACACTCACTGCAGAGGCTGTTCGGGTTTGACTGTTCTTGAGAGCTCGGTGTTTCTGGCAGTTAAATCAGAACGTGTTTCAGGCCAGATTGGCTGGTCAGATGTCATGATCGTGATCATTCAAACTTGCTGTGTGATCTCCCACAGAAATGGTGTGGTGGAGGTGACCCATTGGGCCTGGGGGAGCTGGAAAAGAACTGTGAAATGTCTTTTGGGCATGTTCCCTAGGACATGTTAAGTCTGTTTGGTCCATTTTCCAAGTACGATATCCCCTCTCCAAAGCCTATGTCAGTTTATCTCCTTACTCGTAGTTACAACTAGTGGGTAGAACTTTTTTCTCCTTTGGAGTTTCCTTCCAAAACAGAAATATAATGTTTGAAGTCCTTTGTGCCTCAGCTACTGATGGAGTAGGTTTTCCAGGGATTCTGGAGGCAATAAATAGCAGTGTAGAGTGCAGGCAGCTTAAAGAGATGTTTTTCTCAATGTTTTTGGTTTTGATAATGAAGAACTTAAAGTAATTTATTGTTCTTGGCCTCAGTGCCTCACTTCTGCATTGTTTCAGTAATTAGTGTTCATTTGATATATATGCATTTCTGTATTGTAGCTGTGCTTGAAGTGATTTGCCACTCTAAGTGACACTGTGAGCAACCTTCTGTGTGGCTTTTTGGAGCAGGCCTTGTGGTAGAGGAATGCTTTTGTCAAAAGCTCCACCAGCTGAACAGAAATTCATGGAAGCCTGGGTCAAGGGGAGAAGCAATAACCAGAGCAAAGGCTTAGGAGCCAGAACCACAAAGGGCCACGAAGATGATGGGAGGGCTGGAGCCCCTCTGCTCTGAAGACAGGTTCAGAGAGCTGGGGTTGTTCAGCCTGGGGAAGAGAAAGCTCCAGGGAGACCTTAGAGCCCCTTCCAATATCTGAAGGGAGATACAGGAGAGCTGGAGGGGGACTCTTTGTCAGGGAGTGCAGTGATAGGACAAGGGGTAAGGGTTTTAAATTGAAAGAGGGGAGATTTAGATTAGACGCTAAAAATAAATTCTTTGCTGTGAGGATGGTGAGACACTGGCCCAGGTTGCCCAGAGAAGCTGTGGCTGCCCCATCCCTGGAGGTGTTCAAGGCCAGGCTGGATGGGGCTTTGAGCAACCTGGTCTAGTGGGAGGTGTCCCTGCCCAGGGCAGGGGGTTGGAACTCCATGATCTTTAAGGTCCCTTCCAACTCTAACCATTCTGTGATTCTATGTTCTAGCCCCATTGCTTGCTGCTTAGGCTTGTTGCTTAAGCTCTGATTTGTGATTCCCAGAGTCTTTGCGTGTGCTGGGCAGTGACATAGTCAGAAAGCTGCTGATTTATCTCTTTTTCCCCTTTTCAGAGGATGGAGATAATAATCCTTGAGTGATGCTGAGTTCAGGCATGTTGAGGGTGGGTTAAGGGTGCTCCCAGCTGAAAGGAGCTCTGGTTTCCCATGTGCCACTTCCTGAGCTATAGGTCAGGCTTGGCCTTCCCTGGGGCACATCTGGCACCCTCTGAGCTGATCCCCCTGTGCCTTGGCAGGAGCTTTTGGGAATCTGAGTAACACTGAGGGAGAAGAGCAGGAAAGGGACATTCAAACCTTCCTAAAGACGCATTGTCTTTGAAACACGAGCTGCATCGTGCTCTATTGTCAGCCAGGAGAACTGACAGACAAACTGTCCTTGATTTTAAAAGCTTATAAAATAAAAGGGCTCCCAGTCTTCAAGAAGACCGAAATACGCTTCAGGCAGCATGGGGTAAGCCTGGGTGTATTTCCTTGTTCTCTGTCTTGTCTGTGAGTTGAATCTCTGTGAAGCAGGGAATTCCCAGAGCACGGCCGCAGTGCAGAGGCTGTCAGTACTTCCTCTGCTAGGAAGGGCCTGTGAAACTGTTCCTTGGTATCCTTTGAGAGTGTTTGGATTATTAACAGAATGCTAATGTACTTTTTTTTCTTTTTTCTTCTCACTTTCACAATAGCAATGTCTGGGGAGAACAGGGAGAACACGCTCTTCTACTCCGAAATTCCCAAAACTATAAACAAAGCTGCCGTCTTGTTGCTTTCCTGGAAGCCTCTGTTGGATCTTTTTCCGGTGGGTCCTGATTTCTCTCTTGCTTCTTGGCACCACAGCAAGTACACAGGCTTTGGGGTTGCACCTATAAGCAACCTGTCGTTAAGGTTGGGAGTTTATGGTCTGAAATGTTTTAAGATTCTCCTTGCACTTGGCTAATTCCGCAGCCATCTCAAAAACAAGCACAGCTTTTCTCTGCAATGTTTGGAGCTACAGCCCTTGTGCATCATAAAAACCGTGTGTGCTGGATGATTCCTCCTTTGCTGTCAGAGATTGCAAGGGCTAATTTGCATCAAATTCTCTGCTGTGAGATCCTGGGGATTGCCAAAGGAGCTTGTAGTCTCCAGTAATCACTGTCTTGCAGGGGAAAGTGATGAGCCCCCCTGAGGATCAGTCAGTGGCTCCATGACTCATGCTGGAGCAGAGGATCCCTTGCCCACTCACGGGGACGCGTGTCCCCCTTTTCACCTCCATGTATAGGAAGCCCACACCAGTCCCACCCCATGCACTGAGGTGGAATTAGGTGTGTTTTTTCCCCGTGTGATTTCCTGAGGCTGTCAGCCAGGCATAAAATTCATGCTGAGCTCTCCTCCCACCAGACCAGTCACCGTGTATCTTTGCAGAAGTTTGCAAAGACTCTCCTGCTCGTTCTAGAAATAACAGACCTTCTGTCTGATCTTTCTTACACCAGTGAATACTGGAAATAATGCCAGCCTCGCTATGGGAGAAGTGGCTGTCATCAGTATTTCACTGGAAATAACGCCAGCCTCGCTATGGGAGAAGTGGCTGTCAGGTTTACAGTTGTGTAGGATCCCATGGTGGCCTGCACCTACAAGTGCTGGTGGCAGAGGGACAAGCAGGAGTGGGCTTCTAGCCGCCAGCAGGATTCTGGAGGAGGAGGGTGTCTGTACAGCCATCTGCTCCTGGAAGCCTGGCACGCAGAGACGCTCTGAGGGTGTAGTCAGACACACAGAGCAGAGGTGTTGATTCTGCTTCTCTGCCCCTATTCAGGCCATCCTGGACTATGGGATGTACTCTCGGGAAGAGGAGTTGCTGCGGGAGAGGAAGCGAATCGGCACCATTGGGATCGCCTCTTACGATTACCACCGGGAAAGCGGCACCTTTCTGTTTCAGGCTGGGAGTGGAATTTATCATGTAAAAGATGGAGGCCCTCATGGATTCACGGTGAGTTTACTCCTCTCTCCTCCTGTCTCACTCAGGACTGGAAGCTCCTTTGGCTTGGAGTTAAAGCAAAAGAGCACGATCATTGGTTATTAGGATTATCATCAGTTATTAGGATGTACTAGCATCCTGATGGACCCCAGGATGCCATTGGCCTTCTTGGCTACAAAGGCACATTGCTGGTTCATGGTCATCCTATTGTCCACCAGGCCCCCAACCTGTACTGGTACATGGGGTTATTTCTCCTTAGGTGCAGCACCCTACACTTGCCTTTGTTGAAGTTCATCAGGTTCCTCTCTGCCCAACTCTCCAGCCTGTCCAGGCTCCTCCACCAGCTGAGTTAAGAAGTTATCATCAATACACTGGAGGAACCTCCTGTACTCCTGGTGATTGAAGTCCCCCATGAGAACTAAGGCCTGCAATGCAAGCCTTCAAAAAGATCTCCTTTGCTGATCCTTTTTGCCAGAATTCCCTCCCCCAGTGCGGACTTACCTTCACTGGAGCTGGTCTGTCTTGGTGGTCTCTCTCTTTTGTTGGATTTTCATGAGCAGCAATGCCAATAAAAAGCCACACAAAGGCTCCATGCTCTTTCCTGTAGTCAGAAGTCACATCAGAAGCAGCTTTTGTTCCCAAGCTGTGGTTTAGGGTCACTGTTCAGCACTCAGTGCTGTGTGTGTGTTACAAGATTTGGCTGTGTGACTTTCAGAACAAGCAGTGTTTACTCTGCTGGTGCTGAAGTTGAACTTCAAAGCTGAAATACTTTCTTATTGTTATAACAAATGCCTGATGTCTGTCTCACCCTGTTGTCAGGGGGAATTTACTGTACCCTGAGTTGCTTTTGGAGGACAAGATTGTATGTCCTGCCAGCCCCTATTTAGGGTGCTGTTTTTAAGAGCGTGCCAGGCTTCCCTAGACAAGCTGCCTTCTGATTTATGGCTAATCCTCAGCACTGCTGAATGAGGCCCTGGTGGGGTCTGTGCAACCATGGGAGAAGCACAACTTTCCCTATAAAATATCTGCATAATATTTTTCCTCTGTTTAAAATTGATAAGATTCCTCTGTTGCAAAACCTGTATATCTGAAGTTGGTGTCCACACTACGGTGGTGTTAGAGACCTTCTGGTAGCCCAGTTTAGTTTCTGTAATTAATTGTCCATGTGTTATCATTGTTTCCTGTGTTTTCTTTTTTTTTTTTCTTTCAAACAGCAACAGCCTTTAAGACCCATTCTGGTAGAGACCAGTTGTCCAAATATCCGTATGGATCCCAAGCTTTGTCCTGCTGATCCAAATTGGATTGCGTTTATCCATAGCAATGATATCTGGATATCTAATATAGAAACCAGAGAAGAAAGGAGGCTAACGTTTGTGCACAATGGTAATGCATCCTCAATGAAAATTTCTGCACCTCCTCTGCACTTGTTCTTGCTAGACTGAATTAAGCAGTGGCAGTAGGGGTTCTTCTGGGGGAATGGACACGGTTTCCACCTTGTTTGTCACGTTCTGCGTGTTTCTTCTAGTGCAAATATTGTGGGATGATCCTTTTCCCTGCACTGTGGAATCTGGCAGAGTGAGTTATTTGTTGAATAAATATGGAAGGGCTCTTCTGCCGAAACACAGCACATTCCTTTTCACTGGAACAGCCTTTTCTGTGTGGAGGAGCTGTGGGCGGAATAGAGCTGAAGGAAAGTTTCTGTCAGTGAAATCAGGCTGCAGGCCTCTCAGAAGCAATACAGGCACTTTCTGAATAGCCATGTGGCTTCTGCTGGCCCCTCATACTCTGTAACTTAGGTCCTCTCTTCTTGCCCTTTCCAAATCTGTTTTAGACAGATGTATCCTGGAGGAAGGAAAATGGGAAATAGCGGATAAAACGCTTTTCAAAAATTGATGGTGTGTTGTATTTTAATCATGCTTTGTATTTGAGCTGTATCATTTAAATTCTAGTTAAATTAAAAATTCTGACACTTTACAATAATGCTTTATCTTATTTAAATGTTAAATATTAAAATATTATGTAAGTACATTAAAAATAAACTGTAGCAATGACTCCTTCTCAGATGATAATTATTTATGGAGTGCTGCTAAGTTACCTCCAGGGTAACAGGAAAAATATTGAAGCCCTATGGATATGTCATCATGTTGAGATGTTATGTAAGTCTGTTGCTTTCAGTTTGTACAGTGAATGAAATACTGATGCTTTCATTTTTCTGAATCATTTTCTGATATTTTCCATTTCAGTTGTTCAGAAAGGTTTGGGGTTGTTTTGTTTTGTTTTGTTTTTTCTTTGAGCTTTAAAAGTTATGGTTCCAATTCACAGAGCTCAGGTATACAGAATGTTTTCTTTCTTCAATTAGTACATAGAAAATTGAGAGACTAATTGGGTAGGAATAAGAAGGGTGGATCACTTTTCTAAAAGAAGTTGCCATGTCAGAGAGGAATAGATCCTCTCTAAGTAAATCAACAGAGCACAGCAGAAGCAGAGAACAAATCTGCTGAGAAATCAGATTTATTATCGTGTAATTGTTCCCGGGGGGCAAACTTGGGCCGTGTTTAGGATAATGCAGAACTGCTTTGATTCACCAGTACATCATGAACTGATTCTTTCGTGTCTTTTTTTAGACCTGGCCAGTGTTGAGGAGGATCCAAAATCTGCTGGCGTGGCTACTTTCGTGCTGCAGGAGGAATTTGACAGATACACTGGCTACTGGTGGAGCCCAAAGGCCCAGCCAAGTAAGTATGGTGGATCCAGTGTGTCTGACAGGCACAAGGAGAGCCCCTCCCTGCTGTGCTGTCCCGTGCAGAGTTATTTTTTTCTCTTACTTGTCTTTATGCAAGATAAGAACCTTATACTCATAGCTCCTTATGAACTGTCTGCAGTGATGGGCATGTTACAGCGACCTTGTGAACTGTTACTGGGGGAAGAGACTTTCCTTCTCGCAACAGTGGTAGGAGTTGTAAGAGTCTTAGTGTTTGGCTTAATGAAACATAAAATCCAACAAAGTCTGGGATTTTCTTCATCCTTCCAACCTGCTTGTGCTCCCAAGGGAGTACTGATGTCTGCATTAACTGCTGATGAGAGGTGTTCTGACCAGAAATTTTTAATTCATTTACAGCAATGAATGGGGGTAAAGTTCTTCGAATTCTTTATGAAGAAAATGATGAGTCAGAGGTGGAAATTATTCATGTCACATCGCCCATGCTGGAGACAAGAAGAACAGATTCTTTCCGGTACCCCAAAACTGGTGAGACCCTGATACCTTACATCTCTGTTTCTGGGAGACTCATATTTTATTCCATGTGCGGCACAGCAGTGACTCTCCTTGCCTGGAGCAGAGGGTTGTTGGAGAGGTGTTGAGTAGGCTTTGGATTGGTGTCCAGGTGGTGGAAATGTGTTTTGGGGACTGCTGCTGGGGAGGTTACATTAGTCACTGGTGACTGCTGATATTCCAGCCATGTGGTTACTCAGAGCTCAGAGTCTGGGTGTCTCGGGAGTTGGCGGAAACTCTATCTGATTGTCACTATTTTGGAGCTGCTGTCTTGGATCCTGGCAGATCCGAGTCGTTGAGGAGTAGATTCTCATGGCAGCCCTGTGTCTCTGAGGGAATAGCTGCAAAATTATGACCTTTTGATTTTTCGGGAGGGTTTCTGTTTAGCTGCTGGCAGTGCCCTCACAGTTTAAGTTTTGAAGGACTTCTGGTCTCTGTGATTGTTGTTCAAAGTTCAAGAACAAACTCGGCATGGTTACAGGGTGCTGGAAAAAACCCTGTTGTTACATTTTCAAACAGTATATGGTCTGGAGGCTTCAGCAGTAAAGGGGTGAGGGCAGGCTAGAGGCATATCAAGTGGAATCAGGAAAGCAGGACTTATGCAGACGTGCTGGGGACCAATTCACTGGCGTGTGTCAGGTGCGTGGGGCAAATCTGAACAGTCTGTCCTTTGTTCTTCTGAGATTTCCCTGCTGTTACAGCAGAGCACATTGCTCACAGATGACAGTGGTTCCCTGCAGAATTCATTCAGATCTTGTGGATTTCCTCATCCACTGGGAAAAGTTTTCTGGTTATGATCATGATTTACTACTTGTTTCAAGGAGGAAGAAAGGCTTGGTGTTAGCCTGGGGAAAGAGATATGACTCCTCACGGGTTTTTCAGCGCTCGTGTACACCCAGATTTCTGAGGGTATTTTGTCATAGCTTTGCTCAATGCTACATTTCAGCAGTTTAGGAAAACAAGCCAATGAAAGCCCAAATCCCTTTAAAAAAAAAAAAAACCAAACACCTAGGTTTTAATCTCTGGGCCTTCACTTCCAGTCTGAGCAGCAGGGGCAATAACCCTTTTCTGTGGGTTGTTATGAGGGCAAAGCTTGAAGTAGTGGAGAAAATTCTTCCCAGGGAGAAGGTAAGTACTTAAATTGGCCAGCACTGTGGCCTGAGGCAAGTTGTTTCACCTCAGTGCATCAGTTTTTGTAAATAAACCAGGTTGATGAAGTGGGAGTACTTCCCAGCAGCATGGAGAATATTCAGAGTACGTGGAATTTGCCACGTGTGGCTTCTTGTGGATCAACTGGCAGCAGCTTTATTCTTTACAAAAATCTCCACTTTTGCTGTAGAGCAGGCCCTGACATTTAGCACTGCAGGATGAGTTGCAGCTTTGTGCTGGCTTTTGTAGAGAGTTCTCTTGAGATTTTCATTGTTCAACACAAATACGTAGCTTTGTCATCTTCACTACGCTAGTCATGGCAATAGGTTTTTAAAAGAGAGTTGCTCTAATTTCCAAAGATGCTTTTTAGCACTGGGTCACTTCTTATGCATGACCTCAAGAATAACAGCCAAAGACTAAACCAAAGGTTGCTTTGCCATCCTGATCACTCCTAAGCATTTATTTCCAGCTAGTCCATGCATCCTTTGTGGGAGGGAAGACTGGCTGGGGCTGTGACAGTAGCATGGCTCTTGATCAGATCTGTTGCAGGATTATATCCACTGAGTCTGCCCCCTGTTTGCAGTCTTTCTCCCTGCCTCATTCTGTGCTGTCTCTCACACGTGCAAGCAGGCTATTTGATCAAAGAGCATTCTGCTGTTTGCCTTTTCCAGTTCTCTGTGAGTAACACCACAGTAATCCACAGTTCGTCTGCCCTCTTGGAAGCAAACAATGGGTGCCTGACTGCTAACATCTGTTTTTATAGGTACAGCAAACCCAAAGGTCACTTTCAAGATATCTGAAGTGACAATCAACGCGGAAGGCAGAGTAAGTTCTATGTTCTGCTTGTTTTCCAAACAAATATCATTTCTGTGGTTGGTTTTTTTTTTTTCCAACAAATATCATTTCTGTAGTTTTTGTTTGTTTTGTTTTTTTTTTGATACAATTCATTTTCCAGCTCAGTACAAATAAACTTTTCTTGGTTGATAGAGCTTAACAGCTTCTCTGGAGGCAGTACACTTGGCTGATTCCTCTGCGGATACTCGGTGTCTGTGTGTACAGCAGTATTTGTCAAGGCTGTGCTTTCCTTCCCTACCGCTGGTTTATGAACTCAGCTGCAGAGCAGAATATTCTAGGTGTGGATGGTTAGACCTCCTTATGTGACAGATCTCTTGATTGGCTACAGATATTGGGAAAATTCGATTGCAAAAAGAATATATCACCTTACAAAAGCATGGACATATGGAAAGAGATGAACTTTGCTTTCACCCTGGGATTTTTTAACAGATGCAGAAATTTCCATTGCTCAGTCCAAGATCTTCAGACAGTTGGGAAATTAATCTTACCAAACAGATACAGTAACAGCCATGCATTAGTGGGATTCTATCTACTCTTGAGCTGCTTGAGCCATGGAGTCACCTGCTGGGATAGCGTGGCTGACATCAGCCAGCAAAGGCAGGGAAAGCTGTCACAACCCTCGGGGTACCTCTGTGACTCGTTCCCAGTCCCAGCAGGGACAGAGTGCAGAACTGCATAGCATGAATTAGAACCATTTGATAACTGGATGTCATGCAGGATGTTCAACATCTACTGATGAAAACACCTTACAAAATAGCTCGGAACAAATCACCTCCCCTTTACGTGGGGAGACTGAGTGTTCAAGTGACTTGTCCGAGACGAGCGATGGATTTGTGAGCAGCATCCAGATTTCTCAAGTCCCAGCCCTGGCTGTGCTGGTGTCTGGCTACAAATGGGGTTGAATCCCCTGTGCTGCAAAGGCTGACCCAATCTAAATTGGCTGAGCCTGCACAGAAGAAGTCTTCTGTGTCCAGACTCTCTCATCGTGCATGAAAACTGGTTGTGGGGGTTCATCTCAGTGTCACTGAATTGCTGCTTTGTCAACAGATTGCAGATGTTGTGGATAAAGAGCTAGTTCAGCCCTTCGAGATCCTCTTTGAAGGAGTAGAGTACATTGCTAGAGCTGGGTGGACGCCAGAAGGAAAATAGTGCGTATGTTAATCCTGTCTCTGCTTAGAGGGTTTGGGGCACTACAGTTAGAAGCAGAATGTAGTGGTCTCTTGTCTTCTTCAAGCTTAAGCCTGCTTTCATTTTTACATTGCTACCCACTTAATTTGTGCAAAGGGGGCGATTTTTCCAAAAGCCAAAACGGAGTCCTCCTTGCCTCTTTCTCTGGTACCTGGCCCTGCTGCTTTGGTATCGGGCACTCGCAGCCTTTGATGTATGTGTCCTCTCAGCATCCCTCTGAGAGAGAGTGCAGTGCTATTGTCCCCATTTTACAGATGGGGAACTGAAGCCCAGAGAGGCTAAGTGACCTGCCATGGGTCACACAGGAAGTCTGTGGCTGAGGAGAGAAATGAGCCCAGGTCCCCCAGGCCCTAGGCTAGCGCCCTAACCACTGGACCATCCTTGCTGACCAGACTTACTGATCAGAAAACGTGCTGTAAGTGCTACTTACATTTGCATGTCATTTTTAACCCTGTAGATGATGTAGTACAGTGTTTCTAACTTACCAGAAGCTTCTCCAGAATTGCACTTCTCCAGTTCTTGAATCTAAAGATGGATTTCACCTTTTTAATTTATTCTCCCCTCTCCCCCCCGCAAAATGTGGAAGAAATTCAGGGACACATTTGCTCCATTATCTTGCTTTTTGAGGGATTATTGTTAGAGTTACATGTAAAGCCATCAGACGTATGGCGAGGTCTGTGGCCAGTCCATTTAGGTGCCCAGGTATTATTCTCTGTCAGGTATAGATTTAAAATATTAGTGTTTTCACAAGTATCCTGAATTTTAAATTTAAATTTTTTCTGCTTTGTTATTCCCTCTGATTTTTCCATTCTCCTTCTCCCCTAAAGCACAATTCAAATCTGGGAGAATAGAATTAATTAAACTTTTGAACCGGCAGTGCTTATGCAAAATCGAAATGAAGTGAAATAAGTTGGTGTGTTGTGGAAGAGATTTGTTTATGTGGGTGAAATTTTACATGTGGCTTTGTGCTTAATCTGAAATCGAACATTCTTGACTGCCTCAAAATGCTTAGTGCTAATGAGTGTCTGTTGAGATTTTCAGACCTGTCTAATATTCATGGTTGCATGTTATTTTCTCTAATATCTTGTCTCCTCACCAGCATCTGGTCCATCTTACTGGATCGCTCCCAAACTCGGCTTCAGATAGTCTTGATCCCTCCTGCATTATTCATCCCCACAGAAGATGATGCAATGGAAAGACAGAAACTTATCGATGCTGTACCAGATTCTGTTACACCTTTCATTATTTATGAAGAAACAACAGACATCTGGATAAATGTAAGAATTTGAATTTCGGCCTTCTCTGGCAGTTTGCTGTTCAAGGCCCTGTTTGTAGCCCTTGAGCAGCGTTGGTGTTAGTGTGCTGCCTGGGAGAATATTCCCATTGTGCAAGTTCTGTGTGTATTCTGTGCTTCCTGATGAAAAGAGCTCACAGTATGTAGAGAACAGAGAGGTTTGGGATGTGAAAGCAGAACTAGGAGTGGAGCCCAGGGCTCTGGGGTTCCAAGGCTGCCCCTTGGCTGCAGCGTTAGCCATTGACACCCTCTGGCTTCTTGGTGCTAGTTGTTCAGCAACAGCAATGCCAACAAAGATGTATCTAGGTGATACTGGGTGAAAAAGTCCCAAGAGCCTGCTAACAGTTACTGAAACCCCTCCTTAACTACATGTGGTCTGATGAAATAAATTCATGTGCAGTGTTCTGGGAGGTGTGCCCCAGGGCCTCTGCGGTGAGACCGGACACCCGTGTGCTAGGCTAATACTGTAAAAACGAGTGCTGTTCACACTTCTGCAGATAACAATCATTGTCCCTAAAATGACATCCCGTTGGAGGTGTGCCAGGGTGTGGGAAGCCCTGGGAACATCAATCACTGTCAGATGGTTGGATCTTTCAGCAGAGAGCATTTGCACAAAGCCTTCCAGTGACAGCGAGTGCTCTCTCTCATGCCATGTTTACTGTGTGGGTGGTTTCAGGATGCTGCAGTCAGTTGTTCTTTCTCTATTATTTTTACTGGCTGGTGTGGCTTTTGACTGACAACTCATAAATGCTCCCTTGTCCCTCAAAAGATTGCCCCTTGAAGTAAAAGCTGGCATTTTCATGATGGGAAAATGATGTCAGCTTATCTTTCTTTAAATAACCCTTCACCTGTGGGCTTCTAGACAGCACTGGTCAGAGGAGGCCACTCAACTCTGGCTGCTCTGGGTGGCTCTCACAAGCTGTCTGCAGAGCTGGGCCCACCTCTGTATCAAAGCTAGAAAGGCAGGTGCAGAAAAACTTCATCTGGTGGCCAGAAGTTAGGCTGGCACAAAGCCTGGTGCTGTGCAGCATATGTGGCCACTGTCTGCAGATGTCCCCTGGCTCATAAATGTAACTGGTCCTCCCAGTAAGGGACAGCACTGCACCCTGCTAACATGAACTGTGTGTTCTGTGTTGAGCAGTAAGAGGAACTCACCATGTGTGACTTCGGTCCCAAAGTCCTGCTGATAACAACTATCTGCTGCTCTGTCTCCGTAGATCCATGATATCTTCTATGTTTTCCCTCAAACCCGTGAAGATGAGATAGAGTTCATTTTTGCCTCTGAGTGTAAAACAGGATTCCGGGATATCTTCTACGTTTTCCCTCAAACCCGTGAAGATGAGATAGAGTTCATTTTTGCCTCTGAGTGTAAAACAGGATTCCGGCACCTCTACAAAGTCATCTCAGTTCTGAAGGAGAGCAAATATAAACGGTCGTCTGGAAGCCTCCCTGCTCCATGTAAGTGAAATTATTCTTTTGCTTTAACTGGGCATTTGCTGCCGACTACTGAGGAAATAAATCTCCTTCCAGGTGGCGGGAATTACTGTCTTATTGGAAACTCTTGCTGTTGTCCAGGGAAGCCCTTCACAGCACAGTCATTCCTCTTAAAATCGTGCGGGGTTATTCTGTATTCAGCATGCCTTAGTTTTAACCCTGATTCTTCCTCATGGGCTAGAGGTACAAAGTGTCAAACGATCAGATGGGAAAGAAGCTCCCTGTGATACTGGGAAATGCACTTAGTTGGCTTTTCCATGTCAACGTTGGGACCGTTTCTGTGCTGGCTTTGCCAGAGGTTAATCATTACAGCGTTAGCTTGGCTACCTCTGATGTGCAGGGTCCAGTGTATCTAATAAAGGCACGTTGGTTCAGGGCTTGATTTTGCAAGTAAAACCAACATAGTCCTTGTCAGCCTTTACAAGCAGATTGGTGGCAGAAAGGCTGACGAAGAGCGTGGTTTGAACACACTGTAAAAAAGGTCTCCCTGTCTGAGTGGGCCCATGTGTTAGTCCCTTCAAAAAGAATGTGTGTCCTTGGCAGCAAAACCTACGATATGACAAGTATTCAGAGAGTTCCTCTCTGCTCTTAAGAACAATCATGGTATTGCTGTGTAGACAGAGATGTCAGTAGGAGAAAATTATGGGCAGTGGTTGCAAATGGAAATGCAGCAAGAGTCATTTCAAGCAAAAAAATTCAAGGGCCACATCCTTCTGAGCTGCAGTCAAAGTTTGATCTTGCTGAGATGCACAATGCAGCTGTGTGCAAAGCTCCTGGAGTGGTTTTCCCACAGCATGTATTCTTTAATATGCAGTTACATGCTGTGATACTTAATTTACTTGGTCTGTGTTGAAGGCACTTACTGATCTCTGCCAGCGCAAAAAATACACCTAATATTACTAGAGGTCCTAGTTTCAGGCAACCAGGTGTTATTTCTTTCTTTTTTCCAGATAACATTATACCCTGGGTTGATAAGATTTCTCTTGAATGTACCTGACTGCTTTTTCTCACTAAATCCTCCTCATTCTAAGGGAAAGGAAACCATCTTATAAAAGCAGAGTTGTTCCCCACCCTGTTGCAAAATTCCCCATTGTTTCACACCTGAGATTCCCTTTGTACACCCATTTTTTTAGCATAATACTTCTATTTCTATGCAAGTGACAAAATACTTAAAAAAAAAAAAAAAGGCAAGCAAGCTGTCTGGGACTCAGATTGAATCCTGTGAATCCTTAAACATATACTTCACAGAATTTTAAATAGTACTAGCCCTAACGTCTGTCTGTGGAGCTGGCAGAGGTGTGAGTCTTCTGTGAAAACAGGTTACTCTTGGGTTTAGTCAAATTAAAACGCTTTGAAGGAACAAGTATTATTGTGACCACGTGTTTTGTAACGTGTAAAAGTGTAAAATCTCTGTTTGTATGTGGGTTATTTGCAGGTGACTTCAAGTGCCCCATCAAAGAGGAGATAGCAATCACCAGTGGGGAATGGGAAGTGCTTGGCAGACATGGATCCAATGTAAGTCTCTGCTCTTGCTACACGGATGTTCTGCAGGGAGGTGATGGCTGGGGCCTCACAAATCATGTTACATTAATGAGGCTCTGCTGCCTGAGAAGAGTGGACCTTGCCACTCCCTGCTATTGAGGTTGAACATATGTATCACGTGGGGTTTTTTTGGTCTACAGTGTACTTTCATCCTTCTCCACCTCTGATATGCTGTTCTGGACCATAAGGTCTGGTTTTGGCAGTGTGGGAAAGCAACACAGGCAACATTAGTTGGCTTTTCTTTTCCTGAGTGTTCCTGTGTGGGTCCGTGGCAACAAGGAGTTTTCCCCACTAAATTCAAAGCTTAAAGAGCAAAAATACGGTGAGGCAGCAGTGAGGAAATTCCATGTTTTGTGAGCAGCAGGATGCCATGGTGGTGTCCAACTGCTGTCCTGGAATAAAGAGACGCTTGTTGGAGGGATCAGCTTAAATCTATTAGTCCTGTCCTGTCTCTTTTTAGCCAGAATACACAGTGTTTGTGTATTGTGAGCTTGCACAAGGAAGGAAGGAACACTCCCTAAACTGCTCTAGCAGTTTAGCTCCCTAAACTCTTCTAGCTCCAAGCTGGATGAGTTCTTTGGTCATTTGAATGAAACGGCAGATCAAGGAGAACTGTGTGACTGGTTTGGACCTTGTAAAGGTCTTTGAAATCCTTCCGAAATGGTAATTAGAAACAAGATTGGGAAATGAGATGTGCAAGCTGACCTGCATTTGAATCTGTTCTGCTGTCTGCAGGGACAACTGAGGAATATCTAGCATGGCAGTGCTTACAGTCAGCTGCTGCCTTGGTTTCATTTTGGGGTCATTTATATCACATGTGATTTGGGAGAGGGTCTGAAGAGTGGAGACGTGACAAAGAATGGGGGGACAGAGTTATTTGGTGAAGCAAATGGTAGGAGAGACTGGGAAGAGTAAAAAACCTGCAAGAGAGAGCCAAGCAACAAGGTGTGGTGTACAAATCATAACTGACAGTGTCGTGGACAGTAAGAACAGTCATTTGGCTTATTATTCCTTGCAGATTGTTGGGCTACAGCTCAGCTTTATGGAAGTGGGTCAGGAGGAACTGGGAGTGAAACTTGGAGGTGGTAGAACTGGGTGTTGTTTTGCCAAGACACAATATTGAAGGATGTGTTGTTTGTTTTGTTTTTGACAGATCTATGTTGATGAAGCCAAAAAACTGGTGTACTTTCAAGGCACAAAGGACTCACCTTTAGAGCATCACTTGTACGTCGTTAGCTACCAGAACCCTGGGGAGGTGAAGCGACTGACGGAACGGGGCTACTCTCACGCCTGCTGTGTCAGCCAGGTACCTGCCTGCTTGTGAGGCCCTCTCTAGGCTGGGTGTGCTGGGGCTTATCATCAGTCCTGTCCTTCAGCAATCAGCAGACAAGGCTGGGTAGGCAAGGGCTGGCTGGGTGTGCTGGGGCTTTTCATCAATCCTGTCCTTCAGCAATCAGCAGACAAGGCTGTATTTGAGTATAACAAAAGTAGATTTTACATGGTGTTGTGTGCTCCTGTATGTTGTACAGTTGAGTGCGTAAACCCACCCTGGAAACCGGATTTGATCTCCCAGTTCATTGATCTTCAGCTCGCTTCAGGCAAAAGGATATGAACTCTTTGAAACTCAGCCTGGCTCTTTTGCCCTGAAGTGGGCCATGGAGCAATCACCAGAGGAGATGAGCCCACGGCAGCATTGGGTGGGGTTCCAGACATCTGGAGCAGTAGCCTGTTCAGCTGGGAATGCTTTACCCAGAAGAGGATGTGTGACAAGGTCCTCATGCCACTATTGGTTTTGCAGGTGTATTATTTGGTTTTGGAGTGTTAATATCTGAGTCTTGCTGAGGACTGTAGCTTGTTAGAGTCTATCTCCTGTTATCAGAGGAGCTCAGACTTCCTGGGTTAATTTGGTCCGTAAGCGTCATCTGAAAGATCTAAATGCAGAAAGAGATGGTCAGTTTTGCTTGTGCCTCTGCACTGAGGAGTTCAAGATAACATTCTTTTTTTTCCCTAGGACTGTGACATGTTCATCAGCAAGTACAGCAATCAGAAGAACCCGCACTGTGTGTCACTCTACCGGCTGACGGGACCTGAAGATGATGCAGCTCACAGGACAAAGGAGTTCTGGGCTACCATTTTAGATTCAGCAGGTAATGACAGGGATGAAGAACTGGAAAAGGACAACCAGGATCACAGAATGAAAGATATCCCAGAATGTGCTTGCTTGAGATTTGCTGTTGTGGGTGACTAGATTTGTCTCTGAACCCCATGCAGTGTGAGGTTTTTTTGAGTAACCTCGTGTGAGGAGTTCTTGGAAGTATAGGAGTGACATTTTCAGCTCAGAACAAATGTGTATAAACTGGCCATGAAGGAATTTAGAGTGGAAATTGCAGAGCTGCATCATTTATCCATTCCTTGTTCAACCAGTCTCTCTGTTCCCTCCCGTGACAGGCCCTCTTCCTGATTACATTCCCCCAGAAGTCTTCTCCTTCGAGAGCTCCACAGGGTTTACGCTCTATGGGATGATGTACAAACCTCACAATCTGCAGCCTGGAAAGAAGTACCCCACGGTGCTCTTCATCTATGGAGGGCCTCAGGTGAGCACAGCACATTGGTGAGCAGTGGGGCGGGCTGGCTTGGGTCACTCCACGTAAATCATACGTCCTGTATGAACAGTTCCTGCTCTGTGCTGAGGTGAGTAGCTGCTTGGCCAAAGGTGCTGTAAGCAATCGTGGTTTCCAGGGCATAGATGGAGGCACTCCCTCTTGTCTGAGAGCAGGTATGGAGCAGCAGAGCTGGAACAGGGAGTTCAGATAGTCCCCATGCCCTCTTCTATCTCCTCCACCTCCTTGGGAAGAGCAGAGCTGCAGGCTTGTGGCTGGGTTGTGCCATCAGCAGCTGCCCCTGTTGCTCTGTGCCTGTCGGTGCTGCACTGGAGCTCAGTTCAGCTCTTCATAGCTGTGACACAGAATGGCTTTTGCTGGGGGAAGAGACCACAAGCAGGGAGAGGGAGTCCTGCAGCAAGGAGTAGGGATCTTGAAAACTTAACGTTAAATATGTGTAAAGCATTTAAAGGAAGGTAAAGATAAATAAAATGTGAAATTGGATCAAAAGGTGACCTCTGGATTCCGTTACATACATGGTTGTGTCATTGCTCCTCTTCTATTCCAGGTGCAGCTGGTGAACAATCGGTTTAAAGGCATCAAGTATTTCCGTTTGAACACTTTGGCCTCTTTAGGTTACTGTGTTGTTGTCATTGACAACAGGGGATCCTGCCACCGAGGGCTGAAGTTTGAAGGAGCCTTTAAATATAAAATGGTAAGTGGAACTATAAGTCTGGTTCTTCATCTTTAGCCCAAGATGGACTTGAGTCCCAGTGTTATTCGAGCTGAAGCACTGATTTGGCACCGATGCCCCTCATTGTCTATGTGACCCTGCCTAGATTTGGGGAGGGGAATTGTGCACAGTTTAGCAGTGTGGATTTGAGGGTGAAAGGACACTCAATGTGGGAAAGATACAATGTCAGGGTTTGAGGTTGTGAACCAACTCCAGCTTGGTGGGTGTAACACGAGGTGGTTCATGAGGAGGTCTCTGACTCCCCCAGATACATGGTTGGGTGCTGTACGAACAGAAGCAGCAAAGGTCTGGAAGTGGTTACCTTTGGAAATCCTGAGAATGTAACTTTTGTCTGGAACTAGCAAAACCTACCTTTTTCTCTCCCTTCCCAGGGACAAATTGAAATCGATGACCAGGTGGAAGGGCTGCAGTATTTAGCGTCGCAGTATGACTTCATCGATCTGGATCGCGTTGGCATTCACGGCTGGTCCTACGGAGGCTACCTCTCTCTTATGGCTTTAATGCAGAGGTCAGATATCTTCAGGGTATGTTCATACATTGAGTACTTATTCTGGTGGTGCAGACAGAATTTTTCCCTTAATCATGTAACTTCCCGTGGGTGTTCACAGCACAAAGACTTTTGAGCTTGCTCTAGACAAGTGAGAACACAACACTCTATTTGGCTTCTATTTGGGTGACTTTGGAGAGAAGTTGCTTTTCTAACAAGCATTATTTCCACAGTATTTCTAATTTGTTATTTTTTTTGATGCTTGGTAGACAACAGATCTGAAATCCTGTTCACTCTTTAGGCCTAATGCCTGCTGACAAGCCCCAGTACCCTTTGAAACCAGCAATCAGTGGGTGTTGCAAGAGCAGTTATAAGTTGTGCGACCTTGGGTTGTCTCCTCAGTTCTGTCCACTTGTGTTTCTGTGTGAAGCATGGGATGACATGCTCTTCCTCTGTAGGCTTCTTGTCACGGTTGGGTTCTGAGAGGTGTCTGGAACCGGTATTCACCTTGAGACTGTACTGGTACAGTTATGGGATTCAGCTTTTCAGAGGCAGTGATACCAGTACAGCCCCAATAATTAATACTAAGAGCAATTCCTCAAATCAGAAAATTGTATTTGTGCTATTAAGTGCTGCACTTTCCTGCCTCTCCACACAATTTGCAGCTTTTCTCCCCAGGAGAGTGTGGTGTTCCTAAATGAGTGTAACCACCCCAAAGAGCACTGTCACTGTGCTTGCTGCCCCCAGCTCCACGTGAGCTCGACATCATCTTGACCTGACGTGAAGGTGTGGTGTTGTCCATGAGGCTTCCTGCATTAAAGTGAGCAGGGTGCTTTTGGGCAGAGCAAGCCTGGTGTGTAAGAGAAGTGGGGGGCTGTCCAGGCAGGCTAGTTTTACTGGAATATCTGAGAGTCTCTTCTTATGAGCTGGAGTGAGGAACAACTAACTGTTCACCAGAAGAGACCTTTAAACTGTTGGACTGTTGAGCTTGCAATAACTCTGCTGGTGTAGCTGTACCCATCTCAGGTCAACTTTGCTTTTATAGTCTCAACCATTCCCTGCTTTGTGTCAGCCGAGCTCTTTGTGCTGTGTTTGCAGCTTTTCTCCCCAGGAGAGTGTGGTGTTCCTAAATGAGTGTAACCACCCCAAAGAGCACTGTCACTGTGCTTGCTGCCCCCAGCTCCACGTGAGCTCGACATCATCTTGACCTGACGTGAAGGTGTGGTGTTGTCCATGAGGCTTCCTGCATTAAAGTGAGCAGGGTGCTTTTGGGCAGAGCAAGCCTGGTGTGTAAGAGAAGTGGGGGGCTGTCCAGGCAGGCTAGTTTTACTGGAATATCTGAGAGTCTCTTCTTATGAGCTGGAGTGAGGAACAACTAACTGTTCACCCCATTCCTCTGACCACAGAAGGATGTTCACTCTCTGGAGCTGCAGAGGAGACCTTCAAACTGTTGGACTGTTGAGCTTGCAATAACTCTGCTGGTATAGCTGTACCCATCTCAGGTCACCTATGCTTTTATAGTCTCAACCGTTCCCCGCTTTGTGTCAGCCGAGCTCTTTGTGCTGTGAACCAACTAGGGGAAATGATCCTGCTGAAAAACGACACCTCCTCCTCTTCCTCCTCCCCTCTTCCCTGCCCTGAGAGAACAATTTCTTTGCAGACTGATCTATTCCCAGATCAAGTTGCCCGTGAGCAGGGTGCTTTTGGGCAGAGCAAGCCTGGTGTGTAAGAGAAGTGGGGGGCTGTCCAGGCAGGCTAGTTTTACTGGAATATCTGAGAGTCTCTTCTTATGAGCTGGAGTGAGGAACAACTAACTGTTCACCCCATTCCTCTGACCACAGAAGGATGTTCACTCTCTGGAGCTGCAGAGGAGACCTTCAAACTGTTGGACTGTTGAGCTTGCAATAACTCTGCTGGTATAGCTGTACCCATCTCAGGTCACCTATGCTTTTATAGTCTCAACCGTTCCCCGCTTTGTGTCAGCCGAGCTCTTTGTGCTGTGAACCAACTAGGGGAAATGATCCTGCTGAAAAACGACACCTCCTCCTCTTCCTCCTCCCCTCTTCCCTGCCCTGAGAGAACAGTTTCTTTGCAGACTGATCCATTCCCAGATCAAGTTGCCCATTCTGCAGTGTGTTCTCAAGCAGCCAGGAGGGCAACCTGGGGATGGGGAGAGGTACTGAAGAGAGGTTCTTGTGATTTTGTGACTTCAGACCACTGTGATAAATGGGCAGAGTGCTGTTGGGCAAAGCTCAGAGGTAGAGATGTGGCAAGAGCTGGATATTGCTCTTGGGATATATTTTGTTCTTTGTGGCTTTGTCTAAATCCAACCTGAATATTCCTGGGAGGTTTAATAATGACTTGTCTCAAGTCCTTAAGGATTGGTATGTTTTTACTTTTAAAAATACCTGCCTTGCAAAGGGGTTTTGGTGGTTCTTTTTTTTTTCTTACTGTTTTTTTCCACAAGCCTCTCTGCAGGCTGGGTGGTAGTGACACAAGGTAGTTTGCTGAGTCCTGGGAAGCTATCAATCCCAGTTTCTGTTAGACATTCAAATGAACAAAGGTTTTACAACCTGAGAGCAGAGGAGACTGCGTTTTGGACAAAATCCACCTCCCTCAGTAGGTGATGTGTTTTGCTTCTGATTTGTCTGTAGGATTTTCCTTGTTTTCAGCAAAGTAGGGCATAGCTGAACTTCCCTGATACATATGAACTACGGGAGGGAGAGCGAGATCTGCTTTTCTTTTGTGGATTGTAAACTTATCGGTGTGTTTTGGGCAGTTATAGTTGCCCTGGGATAGAGCTGTGGGAGGGAGGAAAGGAGGGACATCCCCAAAATCAGGGGGTCAGGTCTTGTCACTCCCCTGCCCGTGGTGACAGCCCTGTTGAACTTGCAGGTTGCCATTGCCGGGGCGCCCGTCACGCTGTGGATCTTCTATGACACTGGTTACACCGAGCGCTACATGGGCCACCCGGATCACAACGAGCAGGGCTATTACCTAGGCTCGGTGGCCATGCAAGCTGAGAAGTTTCCTTCCGAGTAAGTTTGGTTCTGGCTCTTGCCTTTCTGCTTTTCCTACCAGGAAAGTTCAATCCCCACGGACACGTTTTTTATTTCCTTGTTCTTGGCAGCTGAATCGTGGAATCACAAATGCTAGTATTAAATAATAATTTTTTTAAAAGACCAAAACCCAACACTAATAAATTTAATACTAGAATGAACATTTGCATAATTACAGGCCATTCCATGTAATCCCTCTTACACCAGCTGTAGTTAAAGACTATCTTTTATGTCTAAAGAAGTGACAGACATATCTTCAATTATGATTAGTGCTTCAGAGCCACATTAAGCTAGACAAAAATGAGTTGATCAGGATGCTTTCTGCACATTCCAAGGCTGGATCAGCACTGGGTTGTCTGCAGAGCAGGCTGAGGCCATGGCTGCTTTGCCAAAAAGCTGAAAATCAGCAGTGGTTCCGAGCAAGTGCGAAGCTGTTGTATTGTCCAAGCTAGGAAATACTTCTGAGAATAGAGAAGATACACAGATGAAGAACTTCTAGGGGAGGAAAGAATAGATTTGGGAGCCGTGTCCATCCAGAGCAATTTACAACAGTGAAATCATGTTCTTCACTGCAAATATTTTTTTGTGTGGAGTGATTTTGAAGGGGTGTGTGTGTGGGCTGTGAAATGACTGGCAGGTTCTGGGGTGCTGTCTAGAAATGTTTGTCTCTTGCTTTTCTCAGACCAAACCGTTTGCTGCTGCTACACGGATTCTTGGATGAGAATGTTCACTTTGCACACACTAGTATTTTGCTCAGCTTTTTAGTGAGAGCTGGGAAACCATATGACTTACAGGTAAGGCCAGAACCGAGGTGTAAAGGTGATGGGTCTGTCTTGGGCTGAGGAGTCCAAAATTGGAACTTGGGTGTGCTGGGCAGGTTGGGATTCTAGGATCAAACTAGTATTTGAGCCTAACATCTTTTCAAAGGAAGATGTTATGAGCAAACAAAAACAAATATTAGGCAAATGAGCAGTTAGAGCAGTTATGGCTGCTCTGTGTAAGAGAAGTGGGGGGCTGTCCAGGCAGGCTAGTTTTACTGGAATATCTGAGAGTCTCTTCTTATGAGCTGGAGTGAGGAACAACTAACTGTTCACCCCATTCCTCTGACCACAGAAGGATGTTCACTCTCTGGAGCTGCAGAGGAGACCTTCAAACTGTTGGACTGTTGAGCTTGCAATAACTCTGCTGGTATAGCTGTACCCATCTCAGGTCACCTATGCTTTTATAGTCTCAACCGTTCCCCGCTTTGTGTCAGCCGAGCTCTTTGTGCTGTGAACCAACTAGGGGAAATGATCCTGCTGAAAAACGACACCTCCTCCTCTTCCTCCTCCCCTCTTCCCTGCCCTGAGAGAACAATTTCTTTGCAGACTGATCTATTCCCAGATCAAGTTGCCCGTGCTGCAGCGTGTTCTGAAGCAGCCAGGAGGGCAACCTGGGGATGGGGAGAGGTACTGAAGAGAGGTTCTTGTGATTTTGTGACTTCAGACCACTGTGATAAAATGGGCAGAGTGCTGTTGGGCAAAGCTCAGAGGTAGAGATGTGGCAAGAGCTGGATATTGCTCTTGGGATGTATTTTGTTCTTTGTGGCTCTTCTTGCTTTGTCTAAATCCAACCTGAATATTCCTGGGAGGTTTAATAATGACTTGTCTCAAGTCCTTAAGGATTGGTATGTTTTTACTTTTAAAAATACCTGCCTTGCAAAGGGGTTTTGGTGGTTCTTTTTTTTTTCTTACTGTTTTTTTCCACAAGCCTCTCTGCAGGCTGGGTGGTAGTGACACAAGGTAGTTTGCTGAGTCCTGGGAAGCTATCAATCCCAGTTTCTGTTAGACATTCAAATGAACAAAGGTTTTACAACCTGAGAGCAGAGGAGACTGCGTTTTGGACAAAATCCACCTCCCTCAGTAGGTGATGTGTTTTGCTTCTGATTTGTCTGTAGGATTTTCCTTGTTTTCAGCAAAGTAGGGCATAGCTGAACTTCCCTGATACATATGAACTACGGGAGGGAGAGCGAGATCTGCTTTTCTTTTGTGGATTGTAAACTTATCGGTGTGTTTTGGGCAGTTATAGTTGCCCTGGGATAGAGCTGTGGGAGGGAGGAAAGGAGGGACATCCCCAAAATCAGGGGGTCAGGTCTTGTCACTCCCCTGCCCGTGGTGACAGCCCTGTTGAACTTGCAGGTTGCCATTGCCGGGGCGCCCGTCACGCTGTGGATCTTCTATGACACTGGTTACACCGAGCGCTACATGGGCCACCCGGATCACAACGAGCAGGGCTATTACCTAGGCTCGGTGGCCATGCAAGCTGAGAAGTTTCCTTCCGAGTAAGTTTGGTTCTGGCTCTTGCCTTTCTGCTTTTCCTACCAGGAAAGTTCAATCCCCACGGACACGTTTTTTATTTCCTTGTTCTTGGCAGCTGAATCGTGGAATCTGAGTAAGTTTGGTTCTGGCTCTTGCCTTCTGCTTTTCCTACCAGGAAAGTTTAATCCCCACGGACACATTTTTTATCTCCTTGTTCTTGGCAGCTGAATCGTGGAATCACAAATGCTAGTATTAAATAATAATTTTTTTAAAAGACCAAAACCCAACACTAATAAATTTAATACTAGAATGAACATTTGCATAATTACAGGCCATTCCATGTAATCCCTCTTACACCAGCTGTAGTTAAAGACTATCTTTTATGTCTAAAGAAGTGACAGACATATCTTCAATTATGATTAGTGCTTCAGAGCCACATTAAGCTAGACAAAAATGAGTTGATCAGGATGCTTTCTGCACATTCCAAGGCTGGATCAGCACTGGGTTGTCTGCAGAGCAGGCTGAGGCCATGGCTGCTTTGCCAAAAAGCTGAAAATCAGCAGTGGTTCCGAGCAAGTGCGAAGCTGTTGTATTGTCCAAGCTAGGAAATACTTCTGAGAATAGAGAAGATACACAGATGAAGAACTTCTAGGGGAGGAAAGAATAGATTTGGGAGCCGTGTCCATCCAGAGCAATTTACAACAGTGAAATCATGTTCTTCACTGCAAATATTTTTTTGTGTGGAGTGATTTTGAAGGGGTGTGTGTGTGGGCTGTGAAATGACTGGCAGGTTCTGGGGTGCTGTCTAGAAATGTTTGTCTCTTGCTTTTCTCAGACCAAACCGTTTGCTGCTGCTACACGGATTCTTGGATGAGAATGTTCACTTTGCACACACTAGTATTTTGCTCAGCTTTTTAGTGAGAGCTGGGAAACCATATGACTTACAGGTAAGGCCAGAACCGAGGTGTAAAGGTGATGGGTCTGTCTTGGGCTGAGGAGTCCAAAATTGGAACTTGGGTGTGCTGGGCAGGTTGGGATTCTAGGATCAAACTAGTATTTGAGCCTAACATCTTTTCAAAGGAAGATGTTATGAGCAAACAAAAACAAATATTAGGCAAATGAGCAGTTAGAGCAGTTATGGCTGCTCCCGAGATCTGCCATTTGGAGATGGTACCAGCAGTGTTGGTGTATTGTGGAACAGGGTTATCCATTTAATTAAACCCTGCTGGTTCTGTGCAGGTGCAGCCCAGGTATCCCACACCACACTGCAGAACTGGGAGCTCTGGGCAGGATCTGCCTCTGTGGAGCCAGGCTGGTTGCCCCCAGCATAGCACTGGCTGGGTTTAGTGGGTGCAGTGGGTTCTCTCTGGGTTCAGGTGATGGAGGATGGGGTGTTTTAGCTCCAGGGCAGGGTTAATGCAGGGAGATGACATTAATATTTCAAATATGGCTCTGGGCACCAGTTTAAATGTTGGTGCCTACAACTCTTGTGGATACTTATGATTTTATTTTTTTTTTTAATATTTTAGATCTACCCTCAGGAGAGACACAGCATAAGGGTACCCGAGTCAGGAGAGCACTATGAACTCCACCTACTGTATTACCTGCAGGAGAACCTGGGCTCTCGGATTGCAGCCCTGAAGGCAATGTAACTGACCTCTGCAGAGCTCTGCTCCACTGGCTGCTTTTCCCAACGAGGAGATATAGGAAACTAGAGGAAATAGCACGGGACATTGCATTCTGGTGCCTGCCACATGTACACACACGTACACACACACGGAGACACTTTTTTTAAAAGTAAAATTGGTGCCATACAGGAAATTAAAAGTACGGAGACCTAATAACTTTAAAGCTTAAGATGTAAATAAAATCAAATGTCTGTGGCATAATGCAGTACCATGGGTGTTCTCTTGGGGGAGGAGCTGAAACGGAAAGTAACGTACTTCTACAGCACCAGGTCTTCACTTTTTAAAAGCATTATGGCATAATTGATGTATTTTTACAGTGTGTTCCTTGGTATCTTGTTACATAATACTGGATGATTTACTCACTACACAGCAAGGGTTTACCTGAATGGTTACAACTTGTATTACATTTTAAATGCTATCATATAGCTTTTATGCTTCATGAAAGAGATATGTCTCACTCCTTAGAAGCTGGACACAAGTTAGACACATCATCTATCTAGTTGTTAATTGTTTTTTAAGAAGAAAGACTTTTAAGCTGCCTCCTAAAGAATTTAAATTTTGGATTCAGTCCACTTGATGCCGGTTTCTTTTCAATGATTTCTTCTCTCCCCAGGATAAATCATACTCATTGTTTGTTTCAGCAGCTTGAAATCCTATCCTGATTGTACTTGATTTCTGTGGGGAAGAGAAATGATATTTTACTGTGATATGGGCATAAGAATCTTTTATTCTGAGATGCAAGCTAACTGAAGTCAAAGAGCTGAAACTGTAAATTTTAAAACAAGCTTAAAAGTGCAGCCCGTTTCTCACTGACGTTTTTCCCTGGTGTTCATTCTGGAGCTGGTTTTGCAATGCTGTTTTCTCACTGTCACATCAGCATGATATAGGTATGTGCATCCTGTTACAGTTTTAAAATTCAATACTCTGTTTCAAAGGTCTGCAGAGGGTTTAGTGAGGAGAGACCTTACCAACGCTACCCGTGAGGCAATATGAATTGTTTCATTGAATTTTCTGCTTTATTTGAGGGACTGTTTCCCAGGCTCCTACGCTGTTCAGTCCTCCCTTCCTGGATCCTTTCTAGCACTGCTGTGGAGCATGATTATGATGCTGCATTTGAGAAACCCCCTTCTGTATAGCTTAAAGTAACCCCGCTAAGCCTAAAGGACATGCAGTCCCAGTTGTGTTTTTGCTAGTGAGGTTTTAACTAAGCAGCAGGCTTGGCTAAAAAGCATCATAAGTGTGTGAAGTCACTCTTAACTTGCAACAGGTCGTTTAAAATAGAAATCCATAGCGAAATGATTCTCTTTAATCCAGGAAATTCTCCCCTTGGGGCTTGCTTCTGAGACTCCTCTAAGTTTTAATGGTTTTCTTAGAAACCTAAGAACTTCCTTCTCTTTCTGTTTTGGTGCTAGAGAGAAGCAGAGCATGATTTTCTTTTCATCTTCTGGAAATCTGGAATCACTCTGGGTGTTTTCGCTCTTAGTACTCCACATGTTGTAACCTTGTATTTTTTCCTCGCTTTTGTCACTCTGGGATTTACCACAATCTGGCTGTTTTGTATCAAACCGCTGCTGGGCGAACGCGCCAGAGCTCTCGGAGCCGGTGCAGTTACACGGTTGTAAAATCCCTGTTGGCAAATGGGATCTGGTTTTTTTGGGGTTACACAAAAAATGGCCCGAGCAAACGAGTGTGCAGTAAATGCAAATTTCCTCCGAGGGGTTTGGGCTTGTTTTCTGGTATTTCAGATCCCGGCGTGAATATAAATAGGTCAGTTAAAATACCATTAGCAGGTCAATAACAGGTTTTAGGGGTTGATTTGAGGAGGGAATGTCAGGGAAATGAGCCCAGCTCCTGGAATGTCTTCTCTTAGCAGTTAATTGTGCCTGGGGTGAACAGCATCCCTCCGGAGGGATATGGTCAGTATTGAGAGACGGGGAAGGGAGCTGATGCATTTGAGCTACAACAACACTGCAGGGAGTAGAGAGAAGTATAAGCTATAACTATGGGATTCCGTTGTGTTCCTTACATGTTTATGCTGTATTATATATACATATATCTATATCTGTTCATATATACATATATGTATAAAATTACACATGGATAGTATCACCTTTTTCCAAGGTTGTTTATATTTTGTTCAATATTAAATTAACTTGCTTTTTGGGCCGGTTTTGTTCTTTTTCTAGAGGTGATTACCCGTGAATGTAAATGTGTATGATTTTTAAGATGAAATTGATCCTTTTGTTTAAAAAAAAAACAGAAGAAAAATGGCCTTCATCAAACAGTGCTTTTTTGGGAACCGAAGAACTAACTGTTATGCAAGTGAACCAGGCTGGCTTTGATTTAGCACAGAATGTGATTGTAAGTGCTGACATCAAACTTTTTAATAGTGCATCCTTCCCTTGTTTTGAATATATATATTGAAAAGCTATTAAAGTACAACGTACTGTAAGTATTCTATTTTGCAACATAAATTATGTATCATTTCTTTCCTACGACATTTTTTTTTCCTTTTTTTTACAGTAGTTAAGCACTTTAAGACCCCATGCTCTGTTACCTGTGGAAATGCTGGAAGGATTTCTCATCAGAGTTTTGTAGCTGTCGCGAAAGATGCCTGCTTGTAGGTGAAGGTGGGAGAGATGCCTTACACGAGGTCTGATCCAGCCCCACGCGGTCGAGGACTAAATTACTGGTGACAAGAGAAAAAAGGCAAAGCCCATGAAGAAAGGCAAAGCCCGTTGCAGTTGAGAATGCAGAGGTAGGAAGGTGTTAGTGCCCAGGACCCGTTGAGTTGGTATTTTTGGGGGGAGCAGTATCCTGCACCTCGTGTGGGGCCGTGTTGGTCTGGTGCTGGAGGGGAGGTGGTGAGGGGAGTGGTGGCTTTGTCCTGCTCCGCACCGTTGGAGTTGCCTTGCTTCAGGATCAGGTTGTAGTTTGCGGGCCAGGAGATGGCATTGTTACTCAAGAAGAGGTTTCCAGCCTGTTTGAAAGTTGGGATTATACTTTGTCCCTTCCTGCATGTTAAAAAGCCCCCCCAAAAAAAAAAGTCTTGGTTAATATGAGTTTGAAGCAGAACTAGTGAGATGTGGGGGGAGCACGTGCAAGGGAGGTTGTCTGTGGAGCAAAAACACGTGAGGAGGAACCATTCATCCCTGTGGCTCCCAAACCAGCTGGTATGTCCCCTGGGGGGATCTGCCTGCAGCTCTGTGCCCAGCAGGACTCCTGCTCTGAGCAGGATGGAGCCTTTATTGCGTGGTGGAAATTAGTTGCACAGGTGTCTTTGAGATGAATGCTTTTAATTTCATACATTTTTAAAAATATAAATGAAATATGGGGATCTGAGCGATGAGATAGTGAAGTCGTTGAGTGTTGATGCCAGTAGTTTCTTCTCGTTTGCAGTGGTTGGGACTGGTGGTGCTTGTTCCTGGTGGAAGCACGTTCTTTCACCCTGTTTTGAGGCAGTTTCCAGTAATTCCTCTCGCGTGTGGGTTGCGTGAAGCTGTTGGGTTTCACCCTTCGCGCTGGAGTGGTACCCTCCTTCCCCACCCCTTTGTTATCAATTATCTCTTTTTATTCAGAACAAAGTAGAACTAGTAACTACTCAGAACTGCTTGATTTGTATAAACTCTGTTTGTTTGTTTGTTAATGAAGTTGTGAGTTCGGAGCACCACATAAAGCTTTGAAAAGAAACTAGCTTCTAGTTGAAAAGAAACTAGAATGGAAAATGCATTCCCTACTTTACTAATTAGATTAGAATGGAAAATGCATTCCCTACTTTACTAGTGGCATTTGGGCACAGGCTATGGAAATACTTTGTGAGGGGAGGGTGTAGTAATGCTTTAACCCCAGGGCACCCTACGGCTGAGCCTGGGTGCTGAATTACAGGGAATCCACAAACTCTGAGCCCTGGGGATCCCAACCCTTCTTCCCTACCAGGAAAACAGGTTGTGTTTCTGCTGTGTGTGTCCGTGTGTAAGGCAGGGCTGGTTTGCTGCTGGCGTGATGCTCAACTTCTGATGAGGCAATAATAAGAGTATAAAGAAATGAAATAATCAGCCAGATTAGGACACTGCCTTGAATTGCCTGTTTACTTGAGTACCAGAACCCTGCAAAGACTTTTTGCGTGCCCCTCGCGGTTCTCCGGGCCACTCCTTTGGAAGGGGAAGAGAGAGATCTTCATGAAGTTTTTTACTTGGATGTTCTGCACAGTAAAAGTTCAGGTGTTTAATTTTAGAACATGAAGTGCCTGCTGTTGCGTTAACAAAATTGCATGTCTCACTCCAGTGGGTTTATTGGTCTCCCTCCCTCCCCCACCTTTCTGGCTTACATGGCTTTTAATCATGTAAAGTGGAGACATTAGTTTTGCTGCGTTTTATTACAAAACCTTTGTTGCAATAAAGATGCTGCTAAATAGAATTAAATTAAATGTTTTTTTTTCCCCCCTCTATTTTCAACTGTCTCTCTTCTTGATTTAGTAGAATCTGTGTGTAATTAAATCTCTTCCCTCATCGTGCTGTGGAAAGCAGAAATGATGGAAAATGTGCGTGTGCGCTTTATATACTTGCGGGTTGTTTAGCAAAAGCATCTGGGATTTTTTCCTGTCCCTCATGGTTGGGTAGATGGATATAAAGGGGGAGATCAGGCATTTGCTTGGCATCAGGACGTTCTCCCTCCTGGCTGTTTCCGTGTGGATGCTGTCAGCAGCCCGTGGCAGCCACCAGCCGGAGCTGTCGCACCGGGTACCGCGCATCCCCAGCCTCCCTCCTGGCCTAGATGGGCCAAGTGCCAGGGGGGAGGAGGTGGCCCCGGGGGAGGAGGTGGCCCCGGGGCAAGGCAGAAGGACAGGGGGACCTGTGTGTAGTGAAGAGGCTCTGCCAAGAGAAGAGATGTCCCTTTGGTCACCTCACGTATGTCTTTGTGAGCAGTTTGGGTTTTGCAGCCCCGGTTCTGCTTGGTGCTGCCCCAAAAGGGTCGGGGGGAGGCTCAGGACAGTCACAATTCATGTTTTTACTCATTCATTCCCAATTTTTCACCCACAGGGAAGCACCCCTTGTTTTGGTGGCTTTCAGAAATGCGCTGGTGACCAGCTGTGTGTTGATACATTGCATCATGTCTCCCTCTGGGGTTTGTGTAGGCCCTACCATAACACGGCAAAGCTTCCCCCAGAGCCTTCAGGAGCCCATGTACAACATGAGCCGGGACACCAGTGTCACACCAGCAGCTGGCCGTGGGCTTTTGGGTTGTGGCTGGTGGAGGGACCTGCTGGTGCCTTTGAGCTGGGTGTGCAGGTGAATCTCTACCACCAGAGAGCAGGGAGGGAGGTTTCTCCATGTGCTGCTCTGCCTGGACCATTTTATCATGGCAAAGCATTTCTGTCCTCTTCCAGGTGCCCAAAGGCCACGCGACATCCTGCAGTTTGGGGTGGGAGAAGCAGGGAGGGCTACAGCCACCATGCAGCCACCAGGAGCAGAGGAATTGAGGTGAGCTTTCAGCCAGAATCATTTAATACAATCTCTGACAGTTCTGTGTGCTAGTTAGAAACACCTGTGCCTCTTAATCCTGGAAATGTTAATATTGTAAATTCATTTTCCGTCTGTGCTGTCCTGCTGGTTTATAGAATCATAGAATCATTCAGGTTGGAAGAGACCCTTGGGATCATCAAGTCCAACCATCTACCCTACTCTACAAAGTCCTCCCCTACACCATTATAAAATGTTCCTGGGCTGGGCTGGAGATGGAACAAGCCCCCCAGGCTGAGTGGTCTCTCCCGACTGGGAGCAGGTTTGGGAGCAAGCAGCTCTCCCACAGAGGGGATGGTTCCTGCTCCTGTTCCTGCTCCTGCTCGGGCGCTGTGGGCACGGGGCATGTTCCTCAGGTTGGGTTTGACAAATTAGCAGCTGGCTGCGTTTCCGTGTCGTGCTGACAAATGAGTGTTCGTGCCATCCCTCTAATTGTAAATGACTTTGGAAAACAAGTTTGTGGTCTTTTAAGTAACCATTTATCAACCTGTGCTCTCGGAAGAGGAGGAAACCAATTCCATGAGCCATTAGGCCGTCCCGCTTTCTGCCTTAGCGCATTCCTTAAGCTCTGGAGACTGGCGTGAGCTTTGCATCAGGTGAGGTACCCAAAGCCTTCTGCTACGGCCGAGTGTCCTCATTTGGGTGGCAATTATTTTCCAATTATGACTCTGCCAAGCGCAGGAGGCCGAGCCCCGTGTTGGATGCTGTCTGTGGGCAGTGCCGGATCCACACGGAGGGGTCCAGTGTAGGAAGGAGCTGGGGGACACAGGGACAGGCAGTGAGTGACCCGGGGCAGAGGTGACCCTGCTGGGGGGGACCAGTTGACCCTGGTCACCATGGCTTTGCCTGTCTTGACACGGTCGTCGACTCCTATTCCCAGGGCAGTAATAAATCTCATTAATCCCCCCTGAAAATGTATTTCCCTGCTCAGCCTGCCCCAAATATTTAGGCAGAGCTGCCTGTGACCTGCCATCACCCCAGTGGGCTCTGGGTTTGGGTGTCTTGCTGACAGCCCTCCCCTTTTCCTATTTTGTGGAAGAGGGAAAGCTGTTTCCTCTCACCCCAGCTGGGTCAGTGCCTGGAGAGGCTGTTGGGGTGCAGGATCCTGCCCTTCCCTGTGCACCTCCATCCACCGGCATCGATGGTCCCAGCCCCACCTCGGCCACCGGGTGAGGAACTGCAGGAGCCAACAGCTGTGGCATCACATGTCACCTTCAGTGAGCCCCTGCCACCCCATCAGGCTTTTTGGCACTGGTTTCTCCTGTCCCTGGTGAGATGTCACCCCGGCACCTCAGGAGGCTGCTCGCTCGCCTGGGGGAGATGAACAAGCGTAGCAGTTCCCATGGAGACTCGTCCCTCCCGCCGCATCCGTGCAGCCCCAGCACTTCCCAGCCCTTTCAGGCTGCAACAAAACATGTTTTCCACCACGTTTTCAAAAGGGGGGGTTATTTGCAGTTCGGCGAGCTTTCAGTCTTTCAGTACTTTCAGTCCCTCACTGCCAGAGGGAGCTAGAAAAATGCTCTCATCCTGCAGGAGCTTCGTGCGCCTGGGAATTTGGGTTATTTTGGGGCAGTCGGGCAGCAGAAGGGCTCGGCTGTGGCCAACCCCGAGTGAGATGTTGGAGATGTCACCCTATGGTCCTTACTGCTGGTGGTGGTGAGGTTGAGGTGCCCTGGAGCAGCTCAGGGTGGGTTGTCCCACCGATGGTCAGGACTGGTGTTGAGCCTGAGGAAGTTTCTCTCCACGTTTGTGGCTGGGAGGGCGCGTTGTGAAGCGGGTGGTTGGTTGGCAGCATCTCCATTCGCTCTGTCCCCACCATCCTCCCAGCCCCGGGGCAGCCAAAACTCCTTCTTCCTCCCAACTTGCAAAAGCCCTTTCAGCCTGGGGTCTTTTTCCCCATCTTTTTTTCCCCACCACCAAAGCTGTGAGCAACACGGAGCTCGTCAAGTAAGGAAAACCAACAGCAAACAAACGATGACCAAAAAGCGTTGAGTTAGGAGTGTGGGGAGGAAGGACCAGTGGTGTGGGGCCGGGGCAGCATCCTGCTTGCTCGGTGCTGCGCTGCTTTACATTCCGCAGCAGGTCTGCACACCAGGGAAAAAAAAAGCCCTTTTGCTTTTCTAACGAGGATGATTTTGATGATTCGCTTGCACCGTCCCCCCTCTTCCCTCTTCCTTTTTTCTCTTCTGCTTTTAAATTTCGTTAGGAATAGATGAGTAAATACCGTGTATGTTTGCGTGGGAGCAGCGGTGGCTTGCGGTTTTATGATTTTCCCCCCAGCTGTGATTCATTGCTTTTTACATTTTTTAATCTATTCCCCCGTGCCCCCCTCCTGCTTCTCCCTTTCTCCCGTGCAAGCCCAGCAGCTGTCGTTATCAGTGAAATGACTTGACATTATTTTGCCGTACTTTGTTTCTATTCATTGATTTGTTGAATGAAAACTATTTATCTGGGACTGACACGCGAGATTGGAGCCTTTCAAGAAGAGGCAACTCTGCAGTATAATTTTGCT